AATAACTTAAGTTTTGGTTTTCGTTGTCTCCAAAGTGCTGGCATCCTTATCAATACCATAACATAATGGTATATAATACCATAACATAACACAGCTAGAGAAACATCAGGGACGGAAAGGAGATCATGAGAGAAAACCCAGAAGCAAGGCTGGGAGGAGAAACAAGAGCTTGTTCTGAGCCTTGTGCCTTGTACAAAACAAAAGGGGCCAGGACAACAGCCCCTTAAATTTGTTGGCTAGTGGGTAACGCTTTGGAGCAAGTAACATGCTGCTGACATCAGCAGATTTTACTTTTCCTCTCTGTCTTCAACTGTAGCTTAAGCTCAGCCTACAAGCGGGTTTGGAGAACCCTGGAGGCAGGAGGTCTCCTTGCTCCGCTGTATGCGGGTAAGGGAGGAGTGGGACAGACCAGTGACACTCGTAGCAGTTCCCTACTGGAAATACAGCAGCGTTCAAGCCACCATTTTTTATTTTGTGTCTCATTTCATGTGTTGTTTTTTTTTTTTTTTTTTTTTTTTTTTTTTTTTTTTTTTTTTTTTTAAGAATCTGGCTTTGGTGTGATCTGCAAGGACACATGTTTTGCACTGGAGCGCTGCAAGTCCTTTCTTGCGTAGCTGTAAGTCAAGGTATTCCCCACCTCCAGTCTGCAAATGAATGCACTCATCATATTGGTTCACTGCAATTGATTAGAAAAACAGAAAAAAAAAAGGTGATTTAGATCCTGATGCACATCTTTGCAACAAGAAACACAAGGGCTCATGCTTTGAAATAAAAAGGGCTAAGAGATACTTGCCAGTTTTAATAAGACAAAAAATATTTTGGCTCGGGGCTCACCCCTAGAAGAGGACGGGTCTGTTGAGGTTTTGAACCTCCCTGGGAATGGGAGAGATCTGCTGAGTCACCAAGGGACATCACCATATACAAGAAAAACTGTAACGCAAAATATTTTATGAGGATTTTAAGAAACCAAGATGTAGGCAGAAAACTGCTCTAAATGACCCTCCCTCCTCCCTGCACAGCCCCTTCATCAGCAGCATTCACAGTGTGAGGACCCATTTCACCTTTCGGGGAGGAGGTAATTATCTCTTGTCAGTTAGGCTCAATCACCGAACTATAAACAGCTGGTGGTATATAACCATTTAGCCTCATTTACCATCATGATAGCCTTTTAGCTGCTACACATTTTGCAGGTTCTCTACCATTTTCCCCATAAATTCTCTTTAAAAAATCATAAAAATTTATGAGGGGGGAAAAAAGGCATGAAATGGAGGTGGCTAAGAGAAAAGGTACTAAAATTTTAAAATAAAGATGAGGTTACATACCACCCGCTGTTTGAAGTGCAGTGATTGAGGGTCTAGCTGATGAGGGATGATTACATTCCTCTTGCTCCTCACTCTTATTAAAAGAGAAGTGCATCATCCCTCTGGATATGGCTGATTAACAGTTACGCAGGAAAGACCTGGGAAAACCGTATCTTCCATGTTTTGACTGTATCCATGAATTTTCCTGACCTTTGTGAATGAAAATAAGCCCCATCCAATACACTGGCACCTTTATACTATCTGAAAGATTTAGAGCAGTAGGAACTGGGTAGGTATCTCTTGCAGAGAACCCAGTTTGTGGCAATCTTCGAGCTGGAGAATACATAAAGAAATCATCACCTCATTCAGCTAAACAGGATCTCGTTTCCAGGACTATTTTTGTTATGCAAAAATCCAGGCTGAAGTCCCATTTGCTAGTGGCTCAAAACAGCCAATAACGTGTTTTACAATGCAAGGTCTCTGCAATGGCACCATGGCTCCATCGTCCGAGTGCCAGTTACTACCCTGGAACTAACCTTTTGTATCCAGCTACTGATGCAGAAGCCCCAATTCCAATAATAATAATAACAATAAAAGCAAAAGCAAATGTTAGGAAGTGACAAGGAATAGATGGATGTAAGTATCACTGAATATCTGCAGAGAAATATTCAATTCGTCATACAGCAAATTCAAAGCAGACCCTCTGCTTTCTTACCTCTATAGGCACAAAGTGGTAAGGATTCAGATGACGATCATACAGGGTACGCATTATTTGTGTTTTGATTTTCTATCAAGTTTTCTTAATGCGATAATTTCTCTTGCCATAGGTAGACTAGATTTTGCCTGTGCGCAAAACATTTGATGCTAGCCACCGGTTTATGCCTACCAGCATAAACATTACCCAAAGAGCACCCGACGCTCATGTACGCCTCCGACCCAGGGCTGCTCTGCTCTGTGCAGTGCTAAATAGACACTTCATACGTGAGAAAGTACCCGAACTCCCCCCGATCTCTCTGCCAATAGAAAACCTGACTGAAAGCCCCAGCATCTTCCTAACTGAGGGCTGTAAGAGCATGTTTGTAGCTCCCCAGTCAGCCATCCCAAAACCCTGAACGCTTTTTGGCAGCTATTAAAGCAAACGAAACACAGTAGAAGAAACAACAGCTTTCTTTTGCATTTTTCTCTTGAGCTTTTACCTATTTCCACATCACCTGTGAGGTGAGATTCATGTTAAATGAGGGTACGTAAGGAACAGAGCACGGTATCGTGCACCTGATTCATTAGGTAGATGCATGAAGGAAAAAAAAAACCCTGCTAAAATGTTCTTTCCTTTCGCTTTAGCTTTCTTGCAAGTAAAGAACATGTGATGTTGCGCAGAAGTATTTAGGTTCCCCTTTTCAGAAAACAGCCTAATTTGTTTGTGACCCAAGAAAATAGGATAGCAAGAGGCTGCTGGGCTATTCAGTCCATCATCTTGCTGTTGCTTTAAAATCCCTCTCAGAGAAGTAGAATTCTTGTATCAGTAATTTTGTGAAAGAAGGTCGTTAACTAGCTAGCAATTAGTGGAAAATAGGACTAGAATTGGGAGAACCAGAAAAGCTCAGCTCTCAAGCCCTCTCCAAAGTGTCCAGAACGTAGACCACATCTCAAGGGAAAGATTTTCCCGCGTCAGCATCTTTACAGAAAGCACTTGCAGGCATAACGCCCCTTGGGCTCTTTGCCAAACAGTGAACACGGATGGGTGGAAATATTTAATATATGTGCAGCAGTGACACTTGAAACCAAAGAGCAGTGGCAGCACGTGACCACTCAGTTTTCATTGGGGCGATCTAAGGACATTTTCTGTCTCTTAAGCCCTAACCTTTGAAAGGCAGAGCGCGTACAGCAAAAGCAGGAAAAAACCCAATAGCCAAATAGCTCAAAAAACCTCCCTAAAATACATATTCACTAGAGGGCTTCCTTAGGGGGTGGCGAGGCAGCTGATTCGCTTGCTCTCTATCTGAAGGCCAGCACTAACACTTGGTACTATACATACAGATACCAATACTTCGGTTTGGGATGTGCTGCCCCTTCCGTTCTAAAATGGCATTATTTTTTTCACAGTTCATCACATCTGTAGGTCAACCAGCTGCAATTAATTCATTGCTTTTCCTCTTTTTTTCTTCTAAGCAAAGTTCACAGTTCACAGCAAAAATCCTTGCTTATTAATGCTCAAGCGCATGCTCTTGCACTTTGCAAGATTAAATTTAATCTCGCTTCTATTATTCTAATTCTCTATCTCATGCGATTTCTGTAAGATACTCTGATTCTCTGCATCCTCCCAGCCCTCCCTCACGCATCTCCCAACACACAGGATTGGTCAATTAAGACCAACCACTGAAGCACTTCATTAGGCAACTCAAAATTTTATTTTGAAGGTTTACTTGTACCAACCTTGGTCACTGCTTTATTTCCATCCCTTAAACAACTAGCTTTTAGCCCCATAGATTTCCTCCACTATTTTGCCTTTGTCAGCTTCCAGGTGATAGCTTGTTTTTTTTTTTTTTTTTAAAATTCTCAAAACACACTACTGCATGAATACAAGATATAAGCAGACATAACCAATCAGAAATTTTGGTTGTTGAAGGTTTTGGTGAGATTTACATTTTCTTGGAGTTTTCTGCAAAGAATTAGAGTTGGAAGAAGACAACAGTGCAGCTGAATGGGTATCTGCTGTGCGCTCCTCTTGTTAAGTTTTCAACTTGTGATTTTGTTCTCGATTAATGTGAAAAATTTTGTAGTAAACACAGCTATTTGTATGTCACTCAATATAAAATTCACTCAATCTGAGGCTTTTTATTTATTAAACATTGATGAGCTTTCTAAGGCCGAAGCATTGCTGGCCACTAACACGGCCTATCTGGGTACAAGCAGAAATGAAGAGCTCGGGGAATGCCGCTAGCGTCTCTCGAAGCGACGGACGCTCCCTTGAGAGCCAACCCCCAGGGCACAGCGCAGCCTGCTACCAGCACTTCATGGAAAATGTATATGCTGGATCATGGATTGTCAGCTGATTTTCATTTGCTACACTGCCAGCTACCAATTTCATGGATAGTTCTAATGAATTATTAAAAAAAAAAAAAGACTACACAGTGCAAGAAGGCCAATTCTGACCTGTTTTCTTGATACATAATATGCCGGTGGAATTATCCTCCATTTCTGTTGATATACTTGTGTTCACAATGTAATGGCTACGACTATACGGAGCATGCTGAGAGCTCTATTTTATGTCCTAAATTATGATAGGCAACATTTGAAAGTAGAAGAGATCTCTTATTAGACAAGGCAATACAGAAGAAAAAAAAGAAAGAAAAAAGCAGGAAAGCTTTTACACTCACAGGCTTTTTCTCCTACACACATGCTGTACGATACTGGTTAGCCTCAAGACCCTTGAAAGTTTTTACATAAACACAAGGCTTCCTTTTTTATTGCCATCTATCTTTATTCACCTGTTTTTCACTTGCTGCACCTTAGCACAGCTCTGAACCATCACCTCCCCGGAGCAGAGATCCTCCTCGTCCTGCTGACCTGTGAGATCCCCACACTAAGATGCCGATGTAAAATCAGGGGCCTGGAGAAGCTACTGCTGTAGAACATAGGGTATTTGCATCTTTTTGTGACAAGTGTGAAGTTCAAGATGTATCTCAAAAGACAACAAAGAAACGTGAGAAAGTTTTATTGATATTTTAGTTACAATAAATACATTTATTTACATATTGACATTTTGAACATGGAACTACATGTAAAAAAGAACTTGTACATGAGATTATTTTTTGTGTTTCCAGTTTTACATTTACTTAAATAGGTACTACAGAAAGATCTCTTATGCAAGTGCAAGAATTTGGAATAGTATTACACTCAAGAAATAAGAGGTAAACAACTTGTGCAGATGACGCTGTAGAAAACATGAGGCAGATGAACCGCCAGTGGAGTCAGTATGACATAGTCGGCTCTTGAATTTATGTTCTGAACTGCTAGCAAACAGACTCTGTAATCCAGATTAGAGCAACACATTTTAAATGATTCTCAAAATACCCAAATATATACAGCGTTTAAGACTTTACAGGTTAGGAAGGATCACATTCAGTAACAGTAATACAGGTAGAATTGTGTTGACAGTGCTCGTATTTCTAAGTGGCAATAAAAAAAAGTCCTATTACTATCACTGAATTCAAGAACAGAACTCCTGAAAAAGTAAAGAGGATAAAACATTTGTTAATCCTGTTTCTCCTGGCTTGCCACAAACGCTAGAGCACGCGTGGAAAATGCTGTAATTTTCCAACACGGATAAAACTGCAAGGCAAAATGGTTAAGTGGTATTTCTCCAGGGCTTGGGAAGCGCAGCATCTCCTACAGTGTGACACCTGTAAAAGTGACCTCAACTTTATACACTACAATAAAATTTGCAAAGAAAAATACAGTATAATATACTTTTGGCATGGAAGATCTAGGCTTCAGATATCCTCAAAATAGCTATCAGTGAAAACAAAATAGAAAATAGGATGGACTCAGAAGCTATGGACTTGGACAGGAAAATGTGTGGAGAGATGAATATAGAGTCAAAAGAGCAAGAACATAGCAAGGATACAAATATCCTTACGGGGAACAAAAAATGGGGGCAAATGAGATAGAAATGTAGTAACGTATAGAGAAAAGCACAGAGAAAAAAGGTCACCACAGGAAAAAGAGAGACATTTAACTTGTTCGAGGGGTACTTTGTATCAATAAAAACTGCATGCAGAAGACTAGCTGTGAATAAATTAGAGTTAGCATCTTGTCTTTGCTGTATCTGTAAATGGAAAATGTGTATTAATTGGAAATTAAATCATTGAAAGAAGTTCCACTGCCTGAAAAAAGAAAACCTGCAAAAAATTTTGTTCATTATTGTACGAATAGAAACAAAACTACAAGGTTTCAAAGGCAGCCTGACAGACAGTAGGAAAAAATGCAAGGCACATTAAAGACCATTAGATGTATACAAAGAAATCCTGAACCACTGAATGAACATAACATTAATACAGTAGTGTTTTGTTTAAATTGTGATCTTCCAAATAAGTACACACAGCATTGCAACATAGCTACATTTAACCTGGACATAGGTTCCTTTACAAAAATATACTTAATCTGTAATAGTGTATAAAATGATTCACCTGGTAAAAATCAGTTAACCTGAGTGCTGTTACATTTGAAAAAAGGAATGTAACCTGTTGAAAAACTGAGTATATATGAGGCCCATTTCCAGTTAGTTAGAAAAATAAGGGTGTCCAACCAAGAAGTGAGAAAGCAACATAAGCACCTAAAAGACCCAGTGAGATTAACTCTCCCCTTGAGCTTTTATATAGTGCAGCAGGGACTGTACTTTCCACCAAAATAAGCATAGAAATAGAAAATGGAGACCAAAAAAAAGCCCTGCAAAAAGCAGTGTTAAAAGGAACAAAATGATCCTTCCCAACCATATCATACCAGAAGATGGTATACGTAGGGATTCAATGTGAATCAGTGTTTTTGTACACAAGGCCCTGTGCTCATGTGGATAAGTCATCTTCATGATTACAAATTAGGTTACAAAAACCTTACAGAAAATCCTTAGGATTTAATATTAATTTAAGAGAAAATACTTCTAGTATTAATGCTTATGAAATACTTAGTATTTAAAGCATGATTTAAGGTAACATTAAAACAAAAGCCCTGTGTTACCCCAAGCGATCTATATCCTTTATAATCTAGCTAACTTTCTGCAACCTATTCAGTATCTGTTTCCTCCACGTTTATTTCTCATGCAATGTGCTGCTAAAAAAAAATTAAAAAGTACAAAAAATAATTTAAAAAAAGGTTTGTGCCTATTAAGGCCAAAAAATGCCTTTTTGACAGCAAACATGAGAAGCCAGCGTTTCACCTTTGAGTATCACCACCCATATAACAAACACAACACTATGGGAAGGACAGAACAACACAATACTATGCCAGAGAGCAATTCCAGGAAATCTCCAGAGTAAGACACACAGGTAAGAAAACCCACAAATGAAAGCCCGTACCCTCCCTCCCACCATCTCACCCAAACTCTAGGAGGGCAACACACCCACACACACATACATACACACAGTTAGCTATGGAAAAGTGCATACAGCAGCTTCTTGGACACTGCACAATTTAAAGCTCAACAGATAAAAAAAATGCTATTTTAAAACTATGAAAAAAATCCAGTATCAAATAAAAGGCTCTTTCTTATTCCAAGTCATTTGACTATGTCAAGAAAAACTTAGGAGGACCCTCAAGGCACAGGCATTCTGAAATAACCTACAGTTTTGTAAAAAAAAAAAAATCTCAGCTAAATCCTTGCAGTGGAAACCTAACGTGAAGGAATTAAAATGCTCAGTGCATTTGATATTTTAATGGCTAGAAGGGCTTTTCATAGAAATATGGAATTCTAAAGTGAATTTTCAGAATTAAACTGGGGAATGAACTACATATCTGAAGACATTTTGCAAATGGGGGGCCAGTATTCACTCTCCTCTTGTGAGATCATATTGGAGATATGTGGGCCAAGAACAATTACCCTGCCTAAATTACTCTCTACGACTACTTTATAGAAAACCATTTGCACAGCAGCTCCTTCAGCTATGAAGATGTGTCCTCCTTTTACCTAGCAACAATTTCACCGAGCTTTTCCAATACTGCAAATTGTTTCATCACACAATACGTGCCACATCAATTGCTAACATTTGGATGAAATAAAGTGTTAACACGACCGACTTGAATTATGGGTAAAACAAAAATACCCCAAACTTTTGAGAACAGTATTACAAGGCAGACCTATCTGTACTTGTACAACAAAATCAAAACAAACCTAAAACCCCATACTTTGGTCTCACAGTGCACTCTATATCCCCTTAAAAGTTAAAGGATAGAGCTTTTTTAAAAATGCAAAACATGCATTCTGAAATACCACAGATCATACGGCCAAACCAATCTTTTAGTCAAGGCAAAATATGATTAGTTATAAAGTGAATTCTCCAGTGCTACAAGACGAAAACAAAATAATTAAAAAAAAAGTTGGCTCCATATAATCACCTACTGGCGTTACCTAATAGAATCATTATAAAATTATGCTAATAAAAACTGTGAACAAATAATACACAGATCAGGATATATGTATTGACTTACTAGCATCTTTATAAAAATTTGAAGATATACACAAAAAACACATCAACATTTATGGAACTGTATCCATTAAACTTAGATAAGACAACACAAAAAAACTAACAAATAGCTAAGATGTGGTTGACTAAGCACTTTGAATAACATTTTAATTTTAAAAGTTCAATATTTACATACTACATTAAATTTTTTTTTTGTATTTTGCATTGTATTTTGAATGCATGATAAAGAAAGAACAAGATAATGGTTGCAACAGATCTTCCAAGAAAGTTAACTTAAGATGTTCAGATTTAACTACGTGCTGAAAGAGAACATGGAAATAACACATCCGTCTACCTTTACCTCTACTTCCTCTGCGATTTTTGGGAGGAGACACAACAAATGGAAGTAAAAGTTATGTTACCATTCAAATTGGTCATTGCCAACCGATCCAGTTTTAAGTTAGGATTTGTGAACTAACAAGACACAAACATTTTAACAAGTGACTCACCTAATTTCTACTTTTGCTACGGAACTTTAAGATATTAGGAAGATACGGTGATAATACAGGGTGTGTTTATGTATGTATGTGTATAATAAAATGCATATAGACATACATACATACAGTATGTTTACGCATAGTATGACATGCGGCTACTGCAATAAGCAGCTAAAATCACCAGCAAGCAAGTCTGCCCGTACTCTAGCTATGTGCAAGCAAAAATCTACTGCAACCGCTTTTTAAGAGGATCCATCTAGTCATTAAACAGACATTGCTTACATTGTCTCCTATATTTAAATTGATCTGAGACTATTTCATGTCTTTGTTTCCAAAGCCATCCACTTTTTTTTTTTTTGTTAAAAAAGCAACTGGATAAAAATTTTTAAAACTTGTTTAAAGCTGGCTGAACCTCAGTCTCTTTGGGATAGATTCAAAACCCAAAGCAGGAGTGTTTGTAGAAACTTCTTTGACTTTTGAATCAAACCCATATTCTAAGGCTCCAAGAAACTTTCTAACCCCAATAACGTTTGCTTATGACAGGACAGCTGATCAACTGCAGATGTTCCTACTGCTGAACTCAGCTGCTGGCCTGCTTTGGCAGTTGCCTCTAGTGCAGATTTCCAGACACACACTACTATCGCTCCATTCCTAGATGTCGTCCCATCCTTCTCATTACAGAGAAGCTGTGCTGTAACAGTGGGATGAATAACTGTTTAATGACTCATTTTAAACATAAGCATTTATTTTTAAAAAATAAAAAATACAGAACCTGAGGAGGAAGCAGAGGGAGCTGGTGCTCATGGACATGAGGAATTAAACCGCACTTGCTAGCACCAGTCACTGGGATCACCTCGCATTAAGTCTTCAAGGTTGGCTTCCACTAGGCACTCCCTACCTGCGGCTCCTTCACTGCTCTGGGCTTAGGTCTAACCTGAACAGGACACAGTAATGGTGCTGAAAAATATTAAGTATTATGCATAAATGTGGAACTAGGCAGACAGATATAAAACTCACTTCCATGCTAAAATTCTCATGATATCACTCTGTCCCTTTGCTAAGTTGTAAATGGGCTTATACAAACTCTTGAAATTTTTTCCCAGTGTAGTAGTTTCAAGTACCAAATTATTCTGTATTATTCCAGTGAAAAAGCAGTTTTCGCTTGAAGACTTTTGACAGTTCTTATTACTGAATCATCAATTTTAATAACATCTACTTAAATGAAAGTCTGTATCAAAACTGTAGGAAAGCCAATTAGGTGGTCTTTGCGACTTGGTTACCATTAAATCTTTTGAGGAAAAAAAAACCTATGCTATTATGAACTTGCTCAGTTCATCATTCTGTGCTTAGCACACCTATTTTGGATCCCAGTTAGAGCTGTTTCATTACATACCAATAGTGTTCTTCTGTGGTTACTCAGGTAACAAGCCTATAAAGTTTCTGCAAGTTTCCCCATTCAAAGAGTAGGTGGAGGGCTTAAGAGTATTCCTAAAAATAAAGGATCAAGCAAAAGCTCACAGTCTAAAAACCAAGGAAATGTTCATAAAAACTGCAATCCAATATAAAGACGACATTTTAATAAGTTTATTCAAAAATAACTGAAAAAAATTGTTCCTTTGGCAATACCATCTAGATGGTTCTAACCAAAAGGAAATTCTATGGATTTTGCTTTGAATAAAATATAAGCTCCTTAATGTCTGCACATAATTTTTGGAACTGCCATTTTGGAACTGTCACCAGGAGATTCACGTAGTTCTTATAGTCCTGTATTTATCGGGAACAACACATCAAACCAAATCCTTGCAGTTACGGCTTTCTTATGGTTCAGCATTAGTCACAAAATAAATCTCCAGGAAAAAAAGCTAGTCAAAATAAAGTATATGGCAATTATGAAACACTAGCCCAAAAGAACTATTAGAAATGCACCACTCTTCCTGTGTAACATTTTTAAAGTGAGCCATTAAATATTTCTTTTTCCTTATATCTGGCAATGCCATTTAAAACAACTTAGTTACAACTTGGAGTTAACTACCCCATGATGCTACTGGAGGATAAAGATCCTTTTTTTTAAAAAAAACAAAAAACAAAAAACAAGGGAATATACAGCAATGTTATTCCTACACAGTGTTTTATGGAATAAGCGGAGTTGGAAGGAGAAGATGGAAGTCTGTATTGGAATAGAAAATGCAAAGACAGACTAAGCATATTTACAGAGATAGAAACTACAGTTTTCCCGTGTCACCTCCAAAGCTTCTCAGCATACTGTTATTCAGTGAAGTAGACCATGTTGAAATCTATGTAAGGATACCTTCTATACTCTCCGATATGCAACATAACTAAGGCTTTTTGTTTAGAAAAAGTGAGTTTTCATTTAAATACCTCACACTGAAGATAAGAGCAACCATTATCAAATATTCTTTGCTATGAAGAAAGTTTTTAAATCTTTCGATGTAAACGTTCTCTCTCAAGTCACTGTGGCCACACAGTAGTATCTTGAAGAACAGTGTCTACATGCATCGTAAGCATTTTGAAAAAAATTCTGTAGTTCCATGTAGTTACAACCGAACGTGAACAAACGGAACAGAAATTCCACCTTTGTAGATCCTCTTAAGTTCAGCTCTGCCTGAGGACATCTTGTTGCTTTCTGTAGTTCAACATAGCAATTAAAGACTGCAAGCTGAAAGGTTTCAGAACCTGACGGTTTTGCCACTGTGTCTCGTGTAACGCCACAGTACGCTCCTATCAGCACAAGGACTTCTCTCAGCAGCTATCACTCAACTATCAGCGCCACGTTTATGTGGGACAGATCTATCATGTGCCTGTAAAAAGATGAAGGAAATTTAAACCTGGTACTCAAACTTATTCTAGGCAGAGAGAACAGAAAATAAGGACCTGTGAAGGTCACTGATAAAGAGATGCTAGATTAGATTAAGAAAAACATTGATCAAAGACAACCAAATTTCACTTTTTAAGGAAGGAAATGAACGGAAGGCAGTAGCAGTGATTAACTAACCTGTGGAATTTCTGTTGAAATGCTAAAGCGTGTGCTGGCTCCTTAAATTTTGCTATGGCTTTCCGCTGTTGAGGAAGCATCTGTAAACTCTGCAGAGACAAAAAATAAACCGTTTTTTAAAATAGTCACTTAAAATTTCCATTTAAAAACCTCATTTTGCACCAATACCATTGACATTTTGTCATAATTCTTTTGTCAGAAACACTTTTCAGTGCTCAGGGAAGGGAATCAGACACAGCATAGATTCTCAGAGATTAGACAGGGACCCAGCTGAGGGCATTCGAGCTCGTGTATTAAGCAACTGTGCTAATAGAAAAACACAGACTGGTTAAGCAAAGGCCACAACTCCGCAAACTGACCTGTACACATGAACCAAACCTTGCAACCAAACTCCCACCAGCTCAATGAGGAGCATTCAGCTGGGCAGAGCTGCTTCTGTGGAGTCATTTGCTAAAGTTAGCTCATGTTCACAGACACGAGCACTTGGATTCACTCACCTGACTTACGTTAAAGGATCATGACTTTCCACAGGTTTAAGAGAAGGGCAGAAACTGGAAAGAAGGTGAACTCACCCAGTGCAGGTTTTGACTATTTCCTCACATCATTTTAATAAATACATGTGGCTAGCTTTTGACAGACACTAAACAACCACATGACCTTGATGAGATGGCTTAGGTCACCAGTCTCAATTCCTTCCAGGAATTGGAAACCACATCTGGCCAGAAAAGACACATCTGGCCAGAAAAGTCCATGGGATACACGCTTCCTAAACTACTAATGCCATTTCACAGTGCTGTAAATAAAAAAAAACACTCAGTACTAAGGTCTCCAAAACTATAGCATGTCTCAGTCAGGGAGCAGGAGAAACCATGTCCTTGCTTCCCTTGCAGGAAGAACTGTGTTAAATGGCAATGCCAAAGGTCATCCCAGAAAGTGGTCCCATAGCCTTTGCAAAGGGAAGTCATTAGACTTACTGAGATTAAAGTTGATGTTTTGGGTTAGTGTTTTAGGTAGAATGGCGTATATTTCAAAAATAATTCTCCAGATAGACATTTGAGAAATGCAGGAAAATGAACTTCGACCTATTATATCTGTACACATTCAATGACTGATAAGAATATGTGACAAGCTTTCAGCATGACTGAATATTCAGAAAGGCAATATCAGACCTACCTCCCCTTTTTCCTGAATCCTGATCCTATTACAAACCTGTGATCTCACCACCTGTAAACCCAGGCCATAGATGTTTCACAGCAGCTGGATTAAAACATGCCTCCTGAAAGCTCCAAAAGTAATAATTTTGAAGTGTTACGCCACAGGGATTCCAGTCGCTCGCTGTAAGTTTTCTGACGTTTAATTGTCTATACTGCAGAGCATTCAAGGTTGAATTGCTCCGACCTCAGCTTCCAGTCCCCAGTTTTTTTCCTATGGCTTTACGTGCAAAACCAAAGAGTATCTAACAGGCCTCTTTTCTGTGCGGAAGTTTCTATGTAAAGTCGATCCAATTTTGTACTGAGCTCAAATACTAAGGCACCTCAAAGCTTTTCCATGTTTCATGACAGTCTCCTGGTGGGCGAGCATAGATTTCCTCCTTTGTTTCTGAGTACCGCCCGGCACTTAGCAGCACGCACACACATTCAGATGTTTCTAACACTTTGACTGCAATCATTCCTCAATATTTTATCGCCTCAGCCAAACCAGCTACAAACTTCACCTGCAAAAACTTTATCATCATCTAAATTATTTTGAAAAAAATCCACAGAAAAGTCCCCCCAAAGACAACCAAATAGCTTTAGACAAACGACTAATCCTTGGGAAACGACCAGATACAACCCCACTCATTGACACATTTTTTTTCATGAGGGACATAAGCTGAGATGTGTGCCATCTCCACTCAATCTAACGCAGCATTTTAAGCAAGATGTCATATACGTAGATGAAATTTGTTATAAAATTGCCTACCTATATCTTTTTTGAACAGGTAACGGTCTAATTGAGAACACACTTATCTAACAGGAGCTGCGGCACCCGAGCGTCATATTTTTTAGTTGCTAAGCCTGACAACTCAGCTTTGGACTCTTGGTGTAAATGACCCAATCTGTTGATTTTTAAGTCGTTAATTTTGGCAGTAGCTACCTCGCACCTTTTTTGTAATTGACAGGAAACCTCCTTGCCTATCCACGAAAACCAAAGGAGATTAATACATCCCTCCCTCCTATGATTTCAAAGCAAAAGCAGAGGAGAGGTTACCGGAAATTACCAACTTCATATTTGGAATAGCCAAGAACAGGGTGAGCAATGTAACCTCTCCCTGTAATCATCAAGAAAGTTAAAAGACCTCATAATCAGTACAGAAAAAACATAAGGCTCAACCAAGTAAAATTACAATGTTCAGCATTTATTGGACCTGCTGATAGTAAGCCTTAGAGTCACTGCGTTCTTTCTCAGAAATATGATTTACCCAACCTGGCAAGTTTCAGCTGGTTAATTTGTAGGGTACAAAGGCCACTACACAGCTACAATGACTAGCTAAGGCATTGCGATTTCTGAGCTGGTAGGAATAGGACTTATCTAAAACAACAACAAACTGGGCAGATGAAATTGTTTTTTTAATCAGAAAGATCATTTTACCAACAAGAACACTACTGAGCAGCACAGAATACCTATGAAAGAACTTGAAAACCACCCTCATTTTTCCTATAACTTATCTGCCGGAGTGAACAAAGGAGTCACTGAAGTTTGTGTTCTTCTCCTGCACAGATGTCACCTCATTAACATTTACAGAAAAGCATCTAATATGCATTCCCTTAACGCTACTTTTCTGGACAGATTAACAGAAAAGGACTAACTGTCGAAGACTAAGAATTAGTCATCACCATCGAACAGCAAGATTTTAAATTAATAAGAGATTTACGAGAATTATAAAGAATATCGGAACCAGAAAACAAAAAGAAGACACAAGAGAAGCAAAATCGGTTCGTATATCATTTCTCAAAGAACATGAAACTTTTAATACGAGAAAAACCCCTTTGAATCACTGAAAGGATGAAAGGTGCCCACATTATTAAGAAGCTGCCTCAGTAATTAGCCTATGGAAAAAAAAACCTGAAGGGAGACATTCTGGTATAGCACCAGAATGATTAGTGAAATTAGAACAGCAAAGTATCTAAATCTTCTTATAAACAACATATTTGTACTTTCACACAAATGAAAGTTTACCGATTGACTCGTCTGGATATTATGTCACCTCCTGTTCATCTTTCTGCTGCATTATCGTTATATTTCCCAAGGCAAATAAATGCAGTCAAAACACTTCCAAATACAAGTCAATTTTAATACTCAATCGCTTTGGCAGCAAAGCATTATTCCTGGAAAAGTCTATTGAAAAGCACATTTACAATATTCAATTTCACTTGTTAATATGGACAACTGTAGAAACAAAGGAAAGTATCTGCAGAAGAATTTCAGTGGAAGCAGCAGCCATTTATACTCCCAAGTTTACTTCCAACTTCATAATTTCTCTCAGATTTTGTCAGTTCCTCCTGATAGTAGTTTTAATTGAAACTTAAGCTTAAATTATAACAACTAGAATTTATTCCACATTCATCCTAGCTACAAAATCACTACTTATCCTCAAAGGAACAAAATATCAAAACTGAAAATTACAGTTCGCAGCCACAACACAAGCCTTGTGGACTAGCTAAGGTCGTTACACGGACACTGCCTTATGCCTCCTTATAGTTAGCTCTGAATTTGTCCCTGTGTTACCATAAAGTACTAGTAAGTGGAGCTGACGTTTTACACTTGTATAACATGACAAGAAACCAACTAACATACACCACCCACGGCTTAAGTAAACACTAGAGAGGCAACCTGAAGGCACCGGTATGGTTAGATGAGCAGCTATGCTGCGAACGGTTGCAGAGGTGCAAGTTTCCACGTAGCTGTCTAGGACCACCTTCAGATGGGTGCACCCTCTTTTGGAGTGCAAAGGCTAGGGTAAGCCTGGGTTTCCGCTCACTGCTATTCAAGCCAACCCATCCACTCCTTCACTGGACAGACTAACTACCCGCACTTCATTCCCAAGGCCCAGTGACTGGGGCAGTAGGGCAGTGACTTCTAGAGCCAGGGTGCTCTCGACTTCTGCAGTCACGCGTGCCCAGGCTTTACCCGGAGAGAGAACGAAGGGCTGCAGACAAACGATACTTCTCCATTTGGAAACTGTCAGCAAAATTCTAGTCAAACAGTTTTAATACTAATTCTCAGCATCCACTGTGCTCAAACTATGACAGTGAAAATGATGCCGACTCACAATTTTTGTCTTACGTAGCATTAAAAAAAAACCTTTTAATTTTGTTTTACCAAGAACAAAATAAGACAGCTCTAAAGTAAGTTACCTTGACTATATGAACACCATTGCTTGAAATGCTACCACAAATATCCTCGCAAGCAAAGATTTTTAAATATCTCAACAGGAAGCACAATCTGTATTGTCTCTTTAAACACAAGTTAATCTATCATAACTTACACTCATTGACATCATTCATCCAGCTAACAAAAGTCTCTCAAAAATTCATGTTCTGATTTTAGGATAATATATATTTAATTATGACTGAAGCCCTGAGTTTTATGCTTACACAGTTAAGCGACTAGCAACATTGATTGTCAGGCACAGAACAAGTACGTACAGTTCTGCCAGCGTGCCTGGGTCTTGCCCTGGCTGCTACCCGGACACTGAACAGATGGGTTATCGGTTGGGAATACAAGTGTTCCACTTCGGTGAAAAGCTGAAATAAAACACCTGCATAGTCAGTCTTCTCTATTATTTCTGTCTCTCTGAATAGTGCACGATATGCAGTTTAGAACTGATCCTGCACTTCGTGATGTCCACAGCAATATTCTGAAGAAAACAGACTTCTCATGCAAGTAAGAAATTCAGTATGAAGCCTTAGGATATTGGGGTACAACCTGTAAAACTTTAGTAGCTTAAACTTTTGTTCAAGACATTATCTTAAAGGTTTACTTTATCAGCAGCTGCTTTTTGGATTTCAAATACATCTGCTAGACATACACACGCAAAATTAATTCT